TCCAATGTATCCTACTCTGGAACCCATTACCTCCTTATAGGACCTTCACTCCACTCCGAGCAACATCCTCAATGCAACCCCTCCTCTGAATGAAGAGGTGAGTTCTCCGAGTAAAGTATACAATTATACATGCTCCCTCTATTCTACGGCAAAATAGATCTATTTCCGCAATTTATCACCGACGTACAAAGCATTTATGATTATCTTGACGGACCATCAGATTCCTGGCACCATTGAAGTTGTTATTGTTGATCCTACCTGGAAAATGACAATAATAGAGGAGATTAATGCCCTTCAGTGGAACCATACATGGGACGTTGTTGATCTTTCTCAGGATAAAAAAGTTGTCGGGTGTCGACTGATTTTCAGCACCAAGTTCAACTCTGATGGATCCCTTGAATGCAAGTCAAAGGGTACTCACAAACCTACGAAGTTGACTATGAGGAGACATTTGTTCTAGTGGCTAAGTTAAACACTATTCGGGTCCTGTTGTCCCTTGCATTGAATCTAGATTGGCCTTTATTCCAGATAAATATCAAGAATGTGTTCTTGAATGGAGAGCTTATAGAAGTGGAATACATGTCTCTTCTTCCTGGCTTTGACTCTACTGTCTCCAAAGGGAAAGTGTGTAGGTTGTGAAAGACTGTCTATGGGCTAAAGCAGTCTCCCAGGGCTTGATTCGGCAAGTTCACAAAGGTGATTGTTGGTCATGGTTTACTCAAGCTCAATTGGATCACACTACCTTCTTCCGACATTCCTCCAATGATCAGATAACTATCTTTCTTGTCTAAATTGACGATATTATTTCTATAGATAATGATCTCCCAGCACTGGAGTCTTTGAAAAACATTCATGCTATATCCTTAGAAATCAAGGAGTTGGGATCTCTCCAATAATTCATAGGCATGGAAGTGACTCGATCATGTCAGGGCATTTGCCTATCTGAGCGTAAATATGTGATTGACCTCTTGAAAGATAACAACTTTTTTCAATACAAACCAGTGGTTGTCCCTACGAATCCCAATGAAAAATTATCTAGCATTTCCAATGTTGTGTATGTCAAAAGACTCACTACCAACGCCTCATGGGGAAACTCATCTACCTCTTTCATACTCGCCCCGACGTATTCCACACAGTTGGTATAGTGGGTCAATTTATGCATGACCCCTATGAGCACCATCTTCAAGTTTCCCACTAGATTCTCCGCTTTTTAAAAGATACACCGAGCTCAGGTTTGTTTTTCTCTCATCACACTCTCGGTCTAATGTTATTTATACAAATGTTGATTGGGTCGGGTCGGTTCATGACCGACGTTCCATCTTAGGGTATTGCTCATTTGTATAGAAAAATCTGGTTACATGGAAAAGCAAAAAATAGTTTGTGATTGCTCAGAGCAGTGCTAAAGCTGAATTGCGTCTCACTGCAACTATTCTGTTATAATAAGGTCATCAACAACATTGCTCACAATCCAATCCAGCATGATCGTACCAAACATATAGAGATTGCAAACACTTTACTAAGAAAAATATTAAGTCCGGAGAAATTTGTGTGCTTTCGTACCCTCCAGTTGTCAATTAGCGAATATCCTCACTAAGAATCTTCCTCGACCTTTGTTCGATGACTTCAAATCCAAGTTGAACATGATTAACATTTATGATTCAATTTGAGATGGAGTATTAGATTTATATTGACAATCAAATCTCAATCAAATCTCTAGTCGTTAATACTTATTATTTATTGCCTACTATTCCCTCGTTAAGTATTTCCTTTCTGCATTATTTTGTTTTACTCCTTTCCTATTTATTTTATTCTATTTTATTTATATCCTTTGTTGTACCTACTGTAATTGGGTTTAAATAACCCCATCTTCAATCAATACAATTGTGTTGGTCTATTCCAATTTTCAATACTTATAAAGGAAATCAAGTGTACGAGTTTTTCATATAAGATATTTTTATTCCAATAGTACAGCCCACGTTCATAAGATTCAATAATAATTTTATTAGGTGGATGTTCGGTTGGAGAGGTTTTGATCACACAACATTCAAATGTAAATGTTTAAAAAATTTAATTATTTGGTAGGTTGAAAAGTAATTTAAAAAATATATATATTTTTTAAATTTAAAGCTCATTCTTATCTTATTTTAAAATAGCCCAAATCATCGATTTTGGAATACACCGTGCCCGTTCCTTGTGTTTGTTTTTCAATCTCAACAATGACTACCTTGATAAGTTCGGATTACAAAGCCATCTTCTCCTACACATTAGTGATCATATGCCAGCAAGCTCCAATCACCAAGTACTCTTCTTCACAAATCATTGATCCCATCCCAACGATCTCTCGACACAATGTTTGCTAATTCTGTCACAATGAAGTCTTGTTGTGATGCCCTTGTTTACTTTACAAACCATTGAACCCATCGATACCTACTCCAACAAACTCTCATCACATCCTCATCTCCTTTACAGTCAATCGAGCCCATTGATGCCTGCCTCTGCAAGCTCTCATGACTATGTCCTCATCTCCTTTATATGTCATTGATCCCTAACCTAACCACCTTCCATCACAGTTTTCACTCAGGTTGGTTTATATATATATATATATATATTAATTTTATTAGCTCTGACCAAACAGAAAACAATCTCCCGAATTTCAAATACATGGCATTTAATATACATTGTATTTAAATACTTATAATTTCAAAATACTTGCAACCAATAGCCCCCAAATGCTAACTCTATTTTTGGATCAAGTTTTTTTTTGTCATTTGTGAAGTCCCATCGTAATGCTAATATGATGAAAGTATTCATATACAATGAGAAAAAAATAGATATGTTATATGTAAGAGATGTGCATGAAGGCGGCTAACAAGAAGCTCAAACAAAATGGAAAAATGCAATCAATTTATCAAGTTGTCCATAGAAAATAAAAATATGCCAAAGAAAAACAAAGTAAAATAAAATAAAATTAGTTATGGATTATGTTCACGCAAGTACTAGAAAAAGAACAAGCATATTAAGCTTAGTCACAATCCAATTTGCAGCAAGTAGAATTTAATCTAATGATGGCGCTCATCTTAACACGTAGACTTAATTCACTAAGTCATTATTAAAGCAAGCATGCGTATGTGATTGCACAAAACACGGTATATAAAATTTCCTAAGCATAGTTTCTTTGTCAGACATGAGATCTACAACGTAAACTTAATCGGAAAGATTTAAGTAAGAATTTTACCTAAGAAAAGTTTTAATCAAAACTATGTTTGCCTCAAGTACTCTACGTACTCTACCTATGAAATCCTTAATTCCCTAAATAGTTCAATATCATTGATTGGTGTTAATGAGTCATCAAATCTGTTGTTAACTTCATAAGGTTATTGCCTATTGTTGTAGATAACCATAAATTGTTCCCACAACTTTGGGCATCATTGCCAAATGGTTTGGTGCCGCCCAAAATGCCTAACTGAAGACCAAAAAGGTGGTCAATGCTCATTTGGTGTGCAAACAACAACAGACTTTGTTGGGATGCTACAACACGTATAAAAATTTGCATAGAAGCACTGATGGTCTGATGGATGGTTGATGTCATGAACCAAAGGCTCAATGTCACTGTTGGGGAAGGCTATCCAATGAGAGATGGAAAACATTTATGGAAGCTTGAGGCGTCTATGTTGTTCTATGGCCAATGATAAACTATTTAGCCTGTTGTAGAGTGCAATTAAAATGCAGAGATATGTTACGAATAGGCACATACAATCAAAGTTTCATGGAGGCTTGGTTATGCATAACAAAAAGTAGAAATAGAAGGGGGGAAGCAACATGTTAGCAACAAAAGAAGATGAAAGAGAGAAGGATCGCAAAAAGAAGCGGATCCAAGGTTGCCCTAATACCACATAATAAAGGAAGAGTTGTGAGGGAGAGAGATTCAATTCAAATTTTAGTGAACCAACTTTGCCCTATGGGGCCTAATTTATAAGGCGAAATAAAGATTTGGCTGAGATTAAATTCTAACAAAAACAAGATAGGAAATAAACCTGATAAACTAAATTCCAAATATCCCATAAATGCTAAAGAAAGCAAGGGAATATTTAATTAATAGCAAGTTGGAATTGACGATTGTCAAGTTTGATCAGACAATCAAGATCACAGCTTAGGAAAACAAAACTGCAGTGCAACATCTATTGCATATGCAATTCCTGAGTTATTTATGAAATTGCATATCTTGTATGTTTTCCGAAATAACAATTAATCATCATTTGATATATGGACACAAAACTACAAATTGAACTAAAGTGTTCAACCATTCTACTAGCTAGCTATTTTTTCCAGAAAGAACGGGACTATTGGAATACTTCATTTATTTGAGGAATACAAAACATGCACTATGATAAGTACCATAGCCTAAGAAAAAGAAATATAGTGGATATAGTGGCTAGACTGTTTTTCAGTTGTATTCAACTACCCCACAAAAAGCTAGCCAGAATATTTTTTAGGTGACACGCACTAGAATTTACAGCCACTAAGTATTTATTACTATTATTTGAGACAACGCAACAGAACCTAGTTGGCATCTTATGGATAAGAATAAAAATGTTGAGACAATTAGGCACTGGAATTTTGTAAAAAGCCGCTAAAAAATCAAAATTTATAGTTGGAGGGATAGCTTAGAGGCCCAAAGCAGAGAGTTGCAGCACTTACCTCAAATAGCATGATATTCCATCATTAAAATGCAAAGATACATTTGCTAGCAAAGATATATTTTCTCGATAAAAAAAATTAAAATATATTTTTATATAATCTTATTATGTTTTCATCTTATATAAAAGAGCACTTTTTTCAAACAAATAGATATGAAAAAAAAAACATTCTACAATTTTAATCACATCACATTGCTCAAAAACTTTAAAAAAAACAAAAAACATACTTCTGCAATGTCACAGAAGTTATCTAGTAGAATGAGTATTGCAGCTGCAGAAAATTGCCTCAAAAGTTCCATTCCATTAAAATTGAAATTGATGCAGGGAAGAAAAAGGAAATAAAAAGTGGCCTTAGTGTTTCAACACAAGGTACAGTGTAAAAAAGGGGAGAGGATAATTACATAGAAAATAGAATCCAACAAACCCTAAGATTGATTCTCTCACCCAACCTCCATCAGCTATCATTACCACAAATAATAATTTCAGTAAAGCTAATTGATTATCTCCACTTAAAAAATTTATTGAAAAAAACTTCCAGCCATGCAAAGAAATAGTAGAAAAAGAGAACAGATCCAGAGGAAAAAAATGCATCAAATGAAAGAAGGCAATTGCAAACAGGAAAGTGACACTATAGACATAGTTAAAGAGCATGCAGAAAGCAAATCCGACCCACAAAAAGGCCATAATAGTGATAGCATACAATCTCCCCAGTTTCACACGCCCCTATCTGCCTCATCTCAAGCAAGGTCCAGCCCATCTCCACTCTTTCACTCACTTTACAGGTTCAAATCTTTCCTTCTCTTAAGGTATCTACAAAACACCGAACAGCTTGTGATATGAAGAGAAAATGGGGGAAGAATAAATTTGTACCAGTCTTAAGGCTTTTTACAAATTTTTGAGAATACAGATAGGCTTTTAAGAATTAATATATGTAAGCATCAAGATATATGGATATATGGATGCAGTTTTAACTAAAAAATTAGCTTAGAAGAAAATAAAAAGAAAATCGAATCTATTTTGGCCAGAATTAGGATAAATCAAATATAATGAGATGAGTTTTTAACTAGATATCACATAAATTCAGTCTATATCAAGTGTCTGGCTCAGCTCGAGATCATGTTGAATGGAGGCCAATCTTGTACCGCATTTGAGTAGGCTATCGCCTTGTCATATTATCAACAGCCCTATTCCTCATAAAAAAAATGCAGATGTAAATTCCCAACTAAATTTTGTCTGCAAGCCGTTAATATGCCCATTACAGAAACCACATCAAGTAAGATGTTTTTCAGCACTTCCTAAAAAAGTTTTCATGTCCTCTTCATAATGCCCATAGTTAGCCAATCCAGCATGCTTTGTGTTGTAGACAATACACCCTTCAGGCATCTCTAAACAAATTGTTGAGATTAACTTGTGCTCCCACAATTGTCATGCATCCAAACTAGAATTGGATAGACAAGAAAATTTATCATAAACAAATTGTTCGCAAAGGCTACATTCACTTTCCTAACTCTAAAAGCTCCAATGACCATAGAAAGATATCAAAAATCATGTTGACAATATCTGGATCAAAGGAATTCAATGCTTCACATTTAAGAACTTTATAGATTGATCCCATTCTCCTCTATTATAGGTATTGCCAATATCAAGGCATTCAAGAGAGGATTTTGTTCTCAAGCATCTGATACATCAGCAGACCTAATGGTAGACGTGGAAATAGTACCTCTAAAGAGACATTTGATCAAAAAGGTCCTCAAGCAACCTCAATAAGCAACAGTGTTCACATAGCATGCGTTCATTCTCAGCCTTGTTAATAGACACATTACTTCTGGAACAGCCAAATTTAGTACACATTTCTGTCAAAGTGGTTTGCACAAAGGATGGATAGAATCTGAGTTAAATCACAAAGTACCTCAAGCAGCCTCAATAAGAACCTACGCTTGCATAGCTGGCTATTATTCCCAGTCATAATGTTAATAGATACAATGCTTCTCAAATTCGGCTAAAAATAGTTTCTATCAAAGTGGCTTGCACAAAGGGCTATCAAAGTGGCACTGTCTCTAGCAGTGGCTATCAAAGTTAAGCATTCTTTGTGAACAATTGATAATTTGAAAGACATTTTATAAGATAAAGAAGCATCCAGTGTATTACTCGGACTTCATTAGTAATCGTGGACAGGTGATAACTGTAAGAGGTAACAGTAATAATGGAATTCCAAGGATAAGCGATTCATTATCATCACCAACATTAGCCTTATCCCAACTAATATATTGTCTAAAGTACAAACCATCATTTTTCATTTATTTTGTTGAATGTTGCATGAGGTGTTAAATTTATTATTGTTGAATCATTTGAACAATTTCTATCTGGATTTCCCTTCCAAATCTAATAGTAATTTTATCTGTTCATCTAACTGATGCATTTTTATCATTAGTTGCATATATTCAACAACAACAACAACAACAACAGACCTTTAACCCACTAAGTGGGGTCGGCTACATGAATCTTTTTTTTCACCATTGTGTGCTATTGAATATACTCAAAGCACCAAAATTTATTTGCAGCTGCACAATCTTCAATAAATGTCAAATCAATGGTTCTAATATCATATTTTAATTTGTTCTTTCTATACTTGTAACAAGTTCATTTTAACATTCCCATTTCCACTATGACCAATTTTGTTCCATTAACTATTTTATTTTTCACCACTTAAAAATAATCTTAATCTATTAGAATTAAATGAAAATATGACTCTCAAAAGAAAACGATGGAGAAAAAGGATTCAAGTAGCTAACCCCACTCAGTGGGATAAAGGCTTCTTATTGTTATTGTAACTATTTTATTGTTCACCACTTAAGTCTATAGATCCTAGTCAAACTAATTGCAAGTTTATAAAAATTTATCTTCAAGTCTCCATCATATTTGTTAATTTATACTACTCCTAGGGCTCTTCTCCATTTTAAGCATAAATCATCAATTATATATATCCTGAGTTAGATTTATATTCTTAGGATATATCACTGCATAACTATTTTACGCATGTTTCTCTTTATCTTATAGTAATATTCAATGGTAATTGTTAATATCACGCCAACAAAAATAACATATTGCATAATAGATCTTTGTTCTACTATTTCTAAGCATTTTATCTCAAAAATAACTCCAATTACAAAAAATTCACTTAAACATTCAGGACACAAAGGAATAGTCGCTAATTCCTCCTTACACATTCGTCATGTAATCCTACTATAAGTGAAAAACTATAATGAACATTAGGCATCACTTTTATGGTTGACTTTTATTTTATTATTTTATTTTGTATTGATTTATGTTTTGACGACATAAAAAGAAAACATATTTGGTATGTTAAAAACATCTAGTTTTTTTTTTACATTTATGTGGTGGTGGTTATGATTGCCGACCAGAAAATTTAAAAATATACTAAACAAATATGTTTACAAACAAAAAGAAAATCCCAAAATAAGCCTTTAGTTACCCTACAACTATTTTGAATATTAGCCAATACTTTAAGATATATAGCTTCAATAATTTAATATATCATTGGCATACATATTTCTTCATTAATGTAAACCAAATCAACTCTCGTGACACTAGATCACATGACTTCTCAAGGTCAAAATAACCATACATATTTCTGTCAGGATCGTATTCCGCGAGTCTTCCGTAGCGTCACCCAGTCGACGACGCTTCCTCCTTAGTTGTTGCGGCTCGCGTCTTCTCCCACATTCGACGACCCCGCTGTCGCCTTGCCCGACAGAAGGTTCCTCCCGAAGTCTACTAGCCTTTTTCTAGCGGCTCGCCTAGCCGTTCTGGAGATAGCCTCAACAATGTGTTCTTATGTCAATGCACTTGCCGACGACTTTCATATTCCTACTCGTGCTCCTCTTTCAGGTTCAGAATTTGGTTTTCATACTGGCAAGTCCTGCAATGTTCTTCAATCTTTCCACGACACTATTGAAGGTGGTGGTGATCACACATTCATTAAAAAGCTTGGCAAAAAAAATGGGAAGCCTACTCTTATTCTCACTGAGATTGAAACCAGCACTCTCGTGTCCTTTTGGCGTTTTGTTGTAGTAGGAAAATTCATTTATGGTCACCCAAAACAAGAGATCATTCAGAAAAAGTTTGATGCTATGAAGCTATTGGATAGTTGAAATAATGAATTACTTAACGATCGACATATATTTCTTCAGTTGTCTCGCGATGTCGATTATACTCGCATTTTTTTCTCGAAAAGTTATCAAGATCGACAACCGTTTTATGAAAATTCCGAAGTGAACTGTTGATTTTGATCCAAAAGCGGAGTCCCCCTATCATTCCTTCTTGGATAAAGTTTATTGAGTTAAAATTACATCTGCTCAACTTGGAAATACTCTACTTTTTAGCAACTGCTTACGGTAAGTTTCTCAAGATTGATAGTCCTACGCTTGCTGTCACCAGTCCCTCTGTAGCTTGTGTGTTAATTGAGAGAAATATTACTAAACCAGCTCTGGATGAGGTATGGATTGACACCACTCACAACGAGTATTGACAAAAGATTGAAATAGAACGATTGAAATAGAACCACACCCTCACACCCTCTTTATTGCTCTCATTATAGTATGTTTGGTCACAGTTCTACAATTTGCTATCGCTAGCATCCTCATCTAAGGCCGAATATCACTAAAGATCAGCCACCTAGCATCCCTGCAGAGAAGGTGCAACCCGATCCTATTTCCAACACCGCAGTTCCAGATGAAGAACATCATTCTACAGGTACAGATTCAAATGTGATTATACCACTCACTGTTATTAAAGAAGACCCACTTACATATCAAGACTCACGAGAGTACTTCTTCGATTCTATAAAAGATCAGTTAGTACAACAAGCTTTTGCTTCTAATGTTCAACAACCTAAACATGTCTGACACACTTTAGATCAATCCACTGATCAGGTTAGCCAATCTTCGGAAGAGGAATGACAGGTCTGATTCAGGAGGAAGAAGAAGAATGGAGGCTGACTCGAGCTCGGGAATTTATTGAATGATAATTGGTTACTACTGACAATGACACTCATCTTACCAATTTATTAGTTGGCTTCTTCCTTGGAACTAGAGGCAGATACAAGGCAAAATTAAGTCATTCTCTAGCTACCTGATACTCAGTATTTTGACATTTTTTTGTTTTTTCTTTAGGTCTCTCATGTATTTCTCTGTATTTTCTCTTTTTGGAACCATTTGATATGGTTGTTTTGGAACCATTTGATATGGTTCTCTTTTTGGACCCATTTGATTTGGTTGTTATCGTGTGGGTAGAGTACCATGTTTGGGCCCTCCCACACAATCTATCTGTATCTTACTTTCTATTTAATATATTAGTCATTGGGCTTTCTCAATATATATATATTAAAAGTGTGCGCGTTCTGTGATAAGTTGGCAGAGCAGCCTATCTGAAGGTCGTAAGTCCCCTCAGGTCATGGGTTTGAATGCCCTCGTTGTAGGGTGTGGTACCCGAATATTTAGCACACTTAGGGATGGTCGGGGCTCGTCTAATAGCTTCCGACCATTACTTTGATATATATATATATATATACCAAGGGCTAATTTATTAAAAATGAAAAACATACAGAAATATTGTATGAGAGAGCTTAAAATCTCACCTCACACAAAATAAAACACACAAAACCCAAATAAAACAAAGATACATAAAGATAAAAAACCAAAAAGCCACCAAAGGGCGTAAAAGTGCTAGGGACGTCCCACTTTCCTCCCTCTGCCTCTAGTTCTTGGAATTGAGTCTGCTAACAAATTAGT